CCCCCCCCCCCTCTCTCTCTGACCCTCATGCACACACACGAACACACGCTCATAGCACACAGATACAAACGCAGACACGTACTCACTTTACTTTCTGTCATGCTCTGGATTGAGGTGGAGATGACCTTGGTTAAACTCTTCAATATAATTTGCTTTGAAATTGCTTGCCAAGTGAAATTGCCTGAGCTCTTCGTCCTATCGGAGATGGGCAATGAACTGTACTCCCTTATGCCCCTGTTATATTTTAAAGGAGATTTGAACTTACATCTTGATGTACCATACCACACCATACCATGCCATGCCATTCTTAAGCCTGCCCATACCATACATACCGTCATATCATACCGTCATACCATACCATACCCACACAATACCATACCTTCCCTCACAATACCTTACTATTGATACTGTACCCTACCTTACCGTACATATGATACTGTTTCTGTGAAATATTTTCTTTTGCGTGAATGATCTTGTCAATCTTCTATTATTATTATTATTATTATTATTATTATTATTATTATTATTATTATTATTATTACTCACCATACCAGGACTTTCTACTTGATACAACACCGTATCTCACCACACCACATCATATACAGGTAATACTTCACCCACTGCACCACATCATTCCGCACCGTGTGAGTGGTTGGCGGGTGCTCTGGTGTGGTTTGCTTCTTCTTTCCTATGAAACATCTATCGTCCTTATCTTTCCTTCTTTATTATGTTTGTTACTCTCTTGTAACACCTCTAATCTTCTGGCGCTCATCTGACCGTATGCAGTTGCGAGCGCCGTAATACCTCTACTAAAACTAAACTATTCCACACCGTACCGTTTCATGCCCACCCCCCTCCCCAAACTACCCAACTAAATAATACCATAATACGATGTAAGTTTCCGATGCTTCATCATGTTGTTAATCTGCGGCGTGTGGACGTATTGAGTGCAGTGGCGGTGGGTAGTGAAGGGCTTACGGGCTTGAGCCCCTCACCCCCACCCCGTCTCCACCCCAACTCTATCCCTTAGTTAATGAAAGTTTCTTAATTAACCAAATAAGCAGTTGAAACCGTTATGATCGCACACAATGAACACATAGTTATCAGCTTGGCGGCTTGCCCG